ATCTTTGATTGGTCTAACATATTGTCTTTCTGAGGTTCTGTTCATTTTGGGAGAGGGAGTTGGCCACTCATTTTTAACCATGGCACGGGTATTAGGTTTCTTCTTGTTTTAAAAAGCTATATTAACTATGTCCATTTTTTTCCTTTTAAAGATATGTTGCACCTGAATATGCATCAAGTGGCAGATTGAGTGAGAAATCTGACGTATTCTCTTTTGGGGTTGTCCTTCTGGAGCTCATTACCGGACGAAAGCCTGTAGATGCATCTCAACCCTTGGGGGATGAGAGCCTAGTTGAATGGGTAAACCTAGATGCTAGTGTTGTTATGATCTCTCTTTTACTACTGCTGCCATCTTTTGCAACTCTTGGTTTTTTGAAGCCGTTAATTTATACTTTTTGTGGTTTTGCTCTCTTTTCTGAATTTCTTCTTTCAATCGTAATCGGTTTTGCATAGGATGTAAAAATGTTTATGATTTTGCGAACCTGTTATTAGAACTATAGCTGCACAGTTTTTCCACTTCTGCCGTGTTTATCTATTTATCTAACTGATGGATTTGATTGCTGCGTGACACGTTATATATCCAAAGATCCAGGAACAAAAACCTCAAATAACTCTGGGCATTCCTTGGGGCCAAAAAATGTTCTTATTTATGATTTTTTTTTTCCTGCTCTCTGTTTAATGTGAGCTTTTGTTCTTGTTGTGGTCGTCTGAATTTTTATTTTTTGTGATGATAACGTACTGAAATTGTTTTGAGACAAGAAATTTTCTGCTTGTTTATCTTGTTTTCTCATCAAGAGTTTAATGTTTTGGTCTTAGCCTCTTAGGGTTAGTGTGCATAGCTGGATCCGTCTGCGACTTTATCTAGGTATTAGGGTGCTTGATAAGATATTTAATTTGTCGTTCTTTAACTTCAAACCTTATGGAGAAAGAAAAGAAAGGAGGACAGCACTATAAAGTTTGCTGTTGTATCATGCTTGTTGTTTTTGTTTTGTTTTTTGTTTTTTTCCTCTTGTTTTTTTTTTTGGGGGGGGGGGGGGTTGCGTTTGACGGTGCGTATAAGTAAAAGTCTTGGATAAGTCAACATCTTTACCTTAACAGTGCTATGGCTCATCTTTTCCTGATTAAGGATATCACCGTATTTTCCAGGCTCGACCTCTGCTGAGTCATGCAATTGATAATGAAGAATTTGAAGGTTTAACAGATCCTCGGCTTGAAAAAAACTATGTTGAAAGTGAGATGTTTCGCATGATTGAAATTGCTGCAACTTGTGTGCGACATTCGGCTGCCAAGAGACCTCGAATGGGACAGGTAATAAATTTCATTGGCAGAAAATCTTTAAAACATGTCATTAACTATCAGCATAAATTCATCGTGATTTTTTATTAAAATGACATAACAAGAAACAAAACAATAATGATAATATCACTGGATCATCTTTATCCTCCCCCACTTTGGCCTGAAATGGATAATCTTTCTCAGGTTGTTAGAGCTTTTGATAGCTTAATAAATTCAGATTTGAACAACGGGATGAGGCCAGGGGAAAGCGAAGCATTTAACTCTGCACAGCAATCTGCAGAAATAAGAATGTTTCGGAGGATGGCATTTGGCAGCCAAGATTACAGCACAGACTTTTTTAGTCAGACAAGTTTGAATTCAACATAGAAGGCTATGTACATACTACAGAGTTATTATTCATTTTGGACCAGTCTATCTTGTCAAGAAAAGCCAAGGGTAGAGATCCTTAGCTGAGTTTTGTTAGTTGCAGTGGCTCAGGCTGACATGCTTCCCTGGAACTGACGGCATCAGGTTCAAAACCTTGATTCTTGTAATATTCCATTTATTCCCCCATAGTATTAGCTTTTCTTTTGTGGCATTTCTTGTATCTTTTGTAATTAAAAAAAAAATGTGCAAGTTGTTTGCTGACGCTCGCGATAAGCTAATATAAATATGTATTTATATTTATATATTAATTGATTGATTTTTTCACATAAAATGGTTGTGCTGCTCTTGGATACCTTTACATACTCTGAGGTTTTATATGAGAAGTGACAACCAAGATACATTTTTTCCTGGCGACTCATGATGCTACATCTTAGAAGAGAAGGGAGATGGACTTTGCGGGAACATTGGGGTTATATGCACTAAAAATGACTAACAATTTATGTATATATCTATATAGGTATATATAATATAATATGTCTTCATTATATTTCTATTCTGAAAAGGGATATGAAAAAACTGCGGTAGATAAAGTAGACAACCTCGACGAACAAAAAGGATAGAAACAGACTGCGTATTGAAGGAAATCAAATGTGAGGTGACTCCTATTATAGACAGCTTTGTGCACAGACTGAAATGTTGATGCAAATTGGAACCTTACCCAGATCCTTGAGAGCCAGAATGGTTAAACCTAGTTTAGAAAAGAAATTCGCATATGAGAAGTCCACAATTATGCCACTGTTATTTTTAAGTAGTTTTGAGGCAGTTTGGGAAGCAGAGTACGTAGCCGTTAATCATGGATGAGCATATGAACATGAAGTAGGCTACGCTAAAAAGTGTATTCATTTGCTTGCCTTTCTACTGATAACGCATTTGGCTACAGGATTCGAGCACGGCCCATGGCCTAACCTCTTTCTGCCCTCTTATTCCCTAAAATTTACATTGGATTCTCATTGTTTGGTCTCACATTCTTCTTCTCTTTTATTCGAACCTCATTGACTTTACTTAGGTCAAATTAAATCCTTTCCACTTGATCCAATCATCATGATTATTTGGTCTTTTCTTTTGATATTTAACTTTGATGCCCTGCTTCTTTTGTCTCTAAACATTAAATATTGATTGATATCCTGCTTAGTTTAGTTCAGAACATGAATTTTGATTGATGCAGATGGTTCTTTTCAAGATGTTGTCTTGGGTCGATTTCTTAATTATATTGATTCTAATTTTGGAATTTGGATTTTCAACGATCAAGCACTTTATTTTCCGTAGTTTGGACATTAGTGAGTTATCCATATCTTGAATGAATCTAGCTTCCCTCATGGTCCATATCTCATGTCTTCTAAGGGAAAGCAATTGAGCCACTGAAGTCTGTACAGTCCTACATTTGGAGGAAACATCACCACTATAATAAAAACAAAAACAATACCTCAATACCTCGATGAATTTTCTTTGACCAAGGACCAAGAGGAAGCAAAAAAAAAAAAAAAAGAGTAATTTTAAGATGATTAATGGGACAGAACCAATATGTTACAATTAAAGCTTAAAGAAGGTTGAACCATGAGAGAGGGTCCAAAGGAATACTAAGGGACTAGGAGCTGCTTGCAGAGATTCTGATGTAGTTAAGGAGTTAAGACTCAAATAGCTTAGTTTCGTTTTCATCTTTTATGATAACCTAATAAGGGCTACGTGAATTTTCTTATTCCTATTAATATAGATATCCAATACAATGTCAATAGGTGGAAAATTCCCATTAAAATATTTATTGCCCAAGAGTACTTGAACTTTATTTAAACCTATATTCAACTATATGCAAAACAGTTTTTTTTTTTTTTTAAAAAAAGAGTTAAAGTATACATTTAGTTCTTTAACTTTGCATAAGGATTCAATTTAGTCCCTGAACTTTAAAAAAATATGCTTAGTCTTTTAACTCTACAATTTTTTTAAAAAAAATGGCAACATTAAGATCTTAAATATTGATAAAATATTCTCAAATGCTAACATATTAAGTTTAATTTTCAAAACATCCATGATTGTTACAAAAAATCATCATCAAATACTAATGATTTTAGGGTTAAAAACCAAATGTATGTTTTTAAAGTTAAGAGATCAAATTGAAACTTTATACAAAATTAAAAAACTAAATGTATACTTTAGCCAAAAAAAATTGTAGCCATTAAGAATGAATTGCATTCGTTCAATTCAAGTCCTTTTTAAGGGGGAAAAACTTCCTCGATAGCGACTTCAATTTTCTTATGTAAATATTGTATTTCAACAACAATACGAAGAAATGAAATGAAAGAAGGGGTGGGATTCCATTTGTAATGTATCTGAGATTGACTCTAGCTAGTTCTACCCCTCAATTTCCCTGGACTAGACTTTTGTGTTTTTCAACCAACCAATTAAACCTTTCGAATATTATTGAAGAAGTATTAACATTTTTCTTGAAAGTTCAGAAAAAAGAAAAAAATGGAATAATTTATTATATGAAGTTGTTTTATTTACAAGTTCTCTATATGAGCAGCTCATTTTTATTGGCTAGAGTTTCTCTCTTCGTTAAATGGATGGTCTATTTACAACGGATGGGTAATAGAGTAAACGTAATGGTTCAAGTTTAACAATTTGTTGTTGAAACATGAATTTAAGTAATATAAGGATTCTCTATCTCTCTGTTCTTTTTACAACCAATTGGGCCACTGGGTATCCAATGCTTTTTATGAGTTTTATTACTAGGTATCCAAACAACCGATTAATCCGAATTAAATTGTGTAGGACCAAGTTTTAACACAGCCACATCTAACATCACTCCATCTCCCTTCTTCCCTTGGTTCGCATCATTTGATAAAAGTAAAATAATTTATGTGATTTGAATTTGATGGAAATACTACCTCCGGTCCTTAATATAATATAAGATCCTGTTTGATTTTTATTTTAGTTCTAAATATAAGACCCCAATCCACTTTGTCTTTTATATTTATGCATTTTTTTCCAAGGTAGTCCTTCTAATAATTGTAATTCCAACTAAAATAGTTGATTACTAAGGATATTTTAAAAAAAACAACACCTATTTATTATAAATAACTAACTTAACTTCTTTTCCTAATCTCCTCAAATTAATCAACTGACTCTTATAATTAGAAGCGGAGCTAGTAATTGGGAAGCTTAGAGAGAAATGTTTGGAGGTAAGAGTAGCATAGCATCCACGAAACTAGAAATTGATGGAGTGATGTGGGCAGCTTACTTGGGTCACAAGCCACAGTTTGCGTTCAGTACGTCACCCTTCATCATTGATAATTCAATTATTCCTCTTGCTTTGCTTTTCCTCATTCGCTCTCCATTGCTTCTTCCCCTCCGTCGTCTCCTCACAAGACAAGGAACCTCCATCAGCTAATTGTTTATACTCTCATCATCCATGGCTTCTTCTTCCTCTTCCTCCTCTGAATCGGCGCCTCGCAGTCGCGGCCATGGAGGATCTGAACACGATCGCTGCCGACTGCGTCGTCATCTGCTGCTGCTGTCAGTGCCTGATCTTGCAGGTCCTGGTCTTCGCTCTGCTCGGGCTTCCCGCCAAATTGGCGAAGAGAACCAGAGAATTTGTTAAGAGAAAGCTTAATCGAGGGAGGAGATCGGGGGAGATTGTGAAGATCGAGGAGGAAGAGCACTGTGTTAGGGTTGGTGCGGGGAGGGAGAGCGGTTTTGGAGACGACGAGGAAGATGAAGGGCGTCAAAGGTGTGGGAAGTGTATAGAGGAAGTAGAGAAGGTGATGATGGAGTTATACGAGAAGGGAGAATTTGGGTTTGGGAGCTTCTGGGGTAGAGGAAGGGAAGGGGAAGAGTCTGGTTGTTCTGTTCCCGCCATTAATGTGGGTACTCCGAGTCAAATTGAGCAGGTAGAAGACGGAGGAGATGATCATTTTGTAAAATACCAAATAATCCAAACGGCAGGTTCATCGCGCAAAACATAAATGGCTAGCTAGACTTTACTTTTTTTTTTTTTTCTCTTTCTTCTTCTCGCTCGTTAAATTCTCCGTTACGCTGCCTCCGTTATTAATATAAGAATTAATTGATTTTTTTGATTAGATTAAAAATATTAGTTAAATTAGCTATTCGTAATAAATAGGTGTTGTCTTTCCTAAAATATCTTTACTAATCAAATATATTAGCTAGAACTACTATTATTATAAGAACTATTCTAAGAAAAAATAAATAAATATAAGAAGCAAAGTAAATTGAGATCTTATATTTAAAATCAAATAAAATTTAAATGAGTTTTTTTTTATTAGGGATAGAAGGTAATATTAGTTTGGATTTGGTTCCTCATAATTACCTGGATTTAAGTATGATTTATTATAGATATACACAAATGAATATAGCTTCCTCTAATTCTTTTTATAAGCAACAATTAAATAGTCCATTTGAGTTAAAATTAATTATTTCCTATAAAATCTCAAAATTATACTCAATAAAAGTCACTCCCTTCACTTTTTTATATAGGATATCCATAACTAAATTGCATGCATCAAAAAGTCGCTTAATATTAATTAACAGTAATAAATGTGTTAAAAAATAATTTTATTTTTTAAAAATAGTTTTATGTATGTAGAGAGAGTTGAGGAGATAATAAATAGGAAAAGGATGCATGTGAGAAGTAATTAATACAATAATGTAACATGTTTTTTTTTGCCCAAAATAATATAACAAGGGGATAATCAAGGCAAATTAAAAATGATAAAAAGATTATTAAAATTTCGTACATCTTTTTTAATTGTGTATTATAGGTAGGACTAGACCACTCCAAAAATTATACTACTTCCAGTCCTAATTATAAGAGCTAGCTAACTAATTTGAGAAGATTAAGAAAAGAAATTAAGTTAGTTATTTGTAACAAATAGGTGTTGTCTTTCCTAAAATATCCCTATTAATCAAGTTTATTGGCTAGAATTATAATTACTAGAAGGATTACTTTGAAAAAAAATACATAAACACGAGAAACAAAGTGGATTGGGGTCTTATATTTAGAATCAAAATAAAAATCAAACAAAATCTTATATTAAAGAAAGGAGGTAGTATCTTTTTAGGATCAGAAAGAGTATTAGTTGGAGACTGGGAGGAGTTTTGTTACCAGTTATAAAATTTATAATTAGTTAAAGTCTTAGGAATACTTATAATAAGCAGCCTTTTCTAATTGCTCACAAATAATTCCTCAGAAATAATTTTGTTTGAGTCACAAACATGAACTAAATGTGGGTATCTCGAATAAGCGCCCTTTTAAACTTCATTAAAACTTTATATTGTAATTATGTTTTTCAACATATCTAATTACAAAATGTAACATAATTTAAAACTTTTTATATGTTGAAAAATCAAACGAAAAAGAAAAGCGGTTTGTCCGTCTATGTTGACTAATCATAGCTCCTTTTCAGTTTTTTTCCCCCCTCTTTTTAATAATATTATGTATAAAAATTTATTTATTATAAAATTATTCGATCGCAAAATGACTCCGGGCAATCAGATTCCTCGTCAAATAAAGAAAAGTCCAAATAAAACAAAAGATAGTTTTGGCCCCCCACCAATTTGTAGTTTTGTACGAGAAAACCAGGTAAGCGTCTAGATGGGAGATGGCCAATCGCAAAAATTTGAGATAACGGCAACTTACTAGAATATACTGTCTCTGATTCTAATTATAAAATCTTATTTATAAACTACAAATGAGATTTTATAATTAGAATAAGAATTAGTAATTAATACTACCTCCTGTCTTAATTATAAGAACTAGTTGACTAATTTGAAGAGATTAAAAAAATAAGTTAAGTTAGTTATTTGTAATAAATAGGTGTTGTCTTTCCTAAAATATCCTTACTAATCAAGTTTATTAGCTAGAACTATTATTATTAGAGGGACTATCTTAAAAAAATGCATAAATATAATAGACAAAGTAGATTGGGGTCTTATAATTAGGATCAAAATAAAAGTCAAACGAGGTCTTATATTAAGGACCGGAGATAGTAACACTATGTTGCTATTTATAAATCACTTAAAAAATAATGAATAAGTTTTTTTATTTTATTCTTATTGACTTAATAAATGCAAAAAGAGATAAAATAAATAGGTGAGAAAAAATATAAAACATATTTTTAATACTTTTTAATAAAGACAAATGGAGAAAAATTATTAATTCAATGCATTTCTTGATTTGCACGTTTGTTGTACAACTAACTTGTAAATACAGCATAATGGCACCCACTTAGTAGTTACCAATTGGTTCCTTCTAAAAAGTACTCCCACCTTATAATAGGAAGGGTAGTAGTACATAGAAAAATAAGTAATAAAGTTAAGTTACATTCCACATTCTGATTTTATTTCTTAAGTGTATTCAGCACACTCTAAAGATTAGAGTGCTAGATGCACTACAAATAAAAATAAAGTGCTCCATATACAATCAAAAAGATTAAAATGTTAAATGCACTTAGAAAATAATCAAAGTGTTGAATGCAAAGTTTACCTTAAAAAAAATGAACAAAATGGGCAAAATGCCAACTCTCCTAAATCAAAGCATCAATCTAATCTTTGGTAAAAAAAAAAAAAAGCATCAATCTAATCAACTAAAGTGACGAATCATGCAAAGTTTACCTTAAAAAAAATGAACAAAATGGGCAAAATGCCAACTCTCCTAAATCAAAGCATCAATCTAATCTTTGGTAAAAAAAAAAAAAAAAGCATCAATCTAATCAACTAAAGTGACGAATCATCAAAAATAACACGCATGAGATACACTATGTTTGGTGTGAAGTATTTGAAAGGGAGGGGTTATTGTTTGATTGAGATATTTCTTTAAAAAGGGAGAGGCTCTTCTCCCCTCCTTTTCCTTTCTAGTCTCCCCTCTAAAGGTGGGATTTTTGGGATGGGAAATGAGAGATAAAATTTTAAATTTTAAAATTAGCCTAACTAAAATACTTTAATGCTTCATATATCTTTTTGCTTTGTTAACCCTTGATCACCTGTAAACATTTCTAAGCAAGAAAGTTTCTTTGAATAACTAGTAAGAAGTTGTCGAGATAGTTGTTTCCAAAGTTCGTGAACGGTGTTGGACCTTTTTTCTTTTGTTCTAATTTCATTGTTTTATGTGATGTTTTCTTTCACCTTCAATGCCTCTTCTTTAATTGAAACCCATCACTTACTGTTTTTTATCTTGATATCTTATATGTGTGTAGTGTAACGGTGTCTTTTAAGTCAAAGTTGGTAAATTGTATTATATATATTTATACCTTGATAAAATAAAAATGTGAAAAAATCTATTAAGATTAAAATAGTTTTTTATTTGAACAAAATAAGGTATTGTTAAAATTCCTCACATTCCCTCCCTTCCGATCAATCCAAACAAGAGATTATTAAAATCCCTTTCCTTCCTTCCTCTTCCCTACCTTTCCCTCTGTAGCTACTTTCTCATTTCCTCCCCTCTCCTTTCCTTCATTAAAATCCCTTCTCTTATTTCTTTAGGATTGAGCCAAACATGCGTAAGTCAAACAATTAACTCATAATAAATAAAACATTACTATCTATTAATTACCCTATACAAAACCAAGTCAAGTCAACAATCATCAACTAACTTCGAAACAAATTTGACTCAATTAACCTAATTATGTACAAAACCAACTATATAATTCCACGTCACCAACATCACAAATCAATTACCCTCTCGCCTATATATATATATATATATATATAACCCCACGAGCCCATCGGCCATTTCTTGGACATAATCTGTCTATAATCCTCGAAATAATTCTGAACCTATAAACTAAGACATTTTGGGATACAAAAAGGGAAAAGAAGAATTTGACATTTATATATTCATATGACTTGGTTCGTATGTGCAGTCTGGAAGATAATTTTCTCGTTGTGATCGCAGGACACCAAATTTGACGTAAAAAATCAAGCAACTTGTAAGCCTCACAATATCATTCACAGAAGAAAACCTACGTTTCAGAGAAGAACGAAGAGAGAGAGAGAGAGAGAGATTCTTTCTCTTTTTTCTCTGTGATATTAACGTTGCAGAATCATGACGAGGCTGCAAAACGACGACCAGGTGGAGCAGTTGAGAGAGATATTCAGGCACTTCGACATGGACGCCGATGGCAGCATCACCCTTCTGGAGCTCGCCGCCCTCCTCCGGTCGCTCGGAATCAAGCCGGACGGCGACCAGCTCCACGCCCTTCTGTCCAACATGGACGAGAACGGTAACGGCTACATCGAGTTTGATGAACTTGCCAAGGCCATCCTCCCCGACTTGCAAGGCGAGGAGATCCTCATGACCCAGGAGCAGCTTCTCGAGGTCTTCCGGTCATTCGACCGTGACGGTAACGGCTATATCACCGCCGCCGAGCTCGCCGGCTCCATGGCCAAGATGGGCCATCCCTTGACGTACCAAGAACTCGCCGACTTGATGAACGAAGCCGACACCAATGGCGACGGCGCCATAAGCTTCAATGAGTTCGCAAACATCATGGCCAGATCTGCCTCTGATTTTCTTGGCCTCAAGGTCGTCTAGGAGCTTAATTAACTCTCATTATCCAGATTAATTATTAAGGGTTGGATTAACTTCTGTGTATATTATCTTCTTCTTCCTTTTTCTAATGTATATTGATTTGTGAATTATATACAGATAGAACTCATTTTGGTATATTGTTTATCAGGTTTTGAGGGAAGAAATGAATCTGATAATTTCTGCGTAACTTTATTATATTTCCCCACAAAAGGAAGAACATTTCGTTCTCATTTTAAGGGTAATGCGTTATTTATTTATTTTGATTGGTTCGCAGATGAGATTCATGGAAGCAGATTAGGGTTTAATTTGCTTCCTGCTACTTCCTCTTTCAATATATGATCCGGTCAACATGACGAAGGATAGTTTATTATTCAGATTAATGCAGCTTGTAGATTATATATATAACTCCGTTTGGTATTT